GGCTTGTTGGCTGCAACATCCTTTGCTTACTGATACAGCAGGCAATATTTTTTCATTGACACATCCCCCCCACTTGTCTTGTCCAACACCAAACCCACCTCCTGCCCCCAAATCCATTCACCATCCTGGTTCACCCAGTTCCTCAGACTCTTGAGAATGTTTCTTTTTCTGTATTTGACTGGTGATATTGTGATTTATAATGAGAAGTAGATATTTGGCCTTCCTCGGTTCCTGGCACAGAGCTTTTAAAACCCTGAGAATTTCCTAAGTGATAAGAGGAATAAAGGTGCCTTTTGTTATGTTAATGAGGCGACTATTGGAAAGCCCCCCACTCAGGTCACCTAAGGATGGGACTGGTTGCCAGGGGAACCAACCTCTTGATGAAGGGGTTGGAACTTTCATTCCCACCCCTGGACCTCCAGTGGCCAAGGATTTAATTACTGCGACTATGTAATGAAGCCACCATAAAAACCCTTAAGGATGGGGGTTCGGAAAGCTTCCAGGTTGATGAACGCGAGATTTGTGGAGACGTGCAGGGACTGGTGCATCTGGGGAGGGCGTGGGAGCTCCGCCCCCTTCCCCATACCTTGCCCTATGATTCTTTCCATCTGACTATTCCTGAGTTATATATCCTTATATAATAAATCGGTCATCTAGGAAGTAAACTGTTTGTGTCCTGTGAGCTGCTGTAGAAAATTAATCAAACCAAGGAGGGCTCGTGGGGACCTCCATCTATGGCCAGTTGGTCAGAAGCTTGGCGTCTGAAGTGGGATGGGTACAGCCTTGTGCGACTGAGCCCTCAACCGGTGTATCTCCAGGTAGATGGTGTCAGAGTTGAGTTGAATTGTAGGATACACAGCTGGTGTCAGAGGTGATGTGGGGAAAAAACCCACCTGTCGGAATTGAAATCAGAATCATCGACCTTTTTTTTTTTACGTATTTTATTGAAGTATAGTTGCTTTACAATGTTGTGTCAATTTCTGCTGTACAGCAAAGTGATCCAGTTATATATATATACACACACATTGTTTTTCATATTCTCTTCCATTATGGTTTATCACAGGACATTGAATATAGTTCCCTGTGCTATACAGTAGCACCTTGTTGTTTATCCATTCTATATGTAATAGTTTGTATCTGCTAACCCCAAACTCCCACTCCATCCCTTCCCCACCCCGCCTCCCCTTGGCAACCACAAGCCTGTTCTCTATGCCTGTGAGTCTGTTTCATAGATGAGTTCATTTGTGTCATATTTTAGCAGAATCATAGACTTTTTCAAGGCAAACATTTTTTTTTTTTGAGGGATAGGAGTTTATTAATTAATTAATTTATTTTTGCTGTGTTGGGTCTTCGTTTCTGTGCGAGGGCTTTCTCTAGTTGTGGCAAGCGGGGGCCACTCTTCATCGCCGTGCGCGGGTCCCTCACTGTCGCGGCCTCTCACGTTGCGGAGCACAAGCTCCAGACGCGCAGGCTCAGTAGTTGTGGCTCACGGGCCCAGTTGCTCCGCGGCATGTGGGATCCTCCCAGACCAGAGCTCGAACCCGTGTCCCCTGCATTGGCAGGCAGATTCTCAACCACTGCGCCACCAGGGAAGCCCCAAGGCAGACATTTTAATCTGCACAGAGAAAGGGCCCACAACATAGATGCACAACTCAGTGAATTTTCTCAATAATAATGCACCCTTAATGGTGTCCACATCCTAATCCTGGAACCTGGGGATACGCTACCTAACGTGGCAAAGGGAAAGTGAGGTTGCAGATGGAATTAAGGTTGCTAATCGGCTGACCTTGAGATGGGGAGAACGATCTTGGATTATCTCGGTGGGCCCCCATTCTGGCCTCCAAGGCCACTTCCTGTATGGCAACCAACCCACCCCCCACCCCATCCCCCCCGCCGCTTGCCATCTCACCTAAAATAAAAACACGGGCCATAGAACTCCCAGACTGCACGAAATGGAGTGTAAAATGGTACACCCGCCTCAGAGCACAGTTGCTTATGAAGGAAAACATGCAGAATGACCCAGCAATTCCACTCCTCCGGATGGACCCAGGAGACAGGAAAACTTCTGTTCACACAAGACTCGGATGTGAATGCTCTGAACAGCTTTGCTCGTAATTCCCCAACGCTGAATGCATCCCAAACACCCAGCAACAAGCAAGTGATAACCAATCGTGGTATATTCATTTGGTACCAAAGATCAGGGAATAAGAAAAAAAAGAAGCTCGGGACTTCCCTGGTGGTCCAGTGGTTAAGAATCCACCTTCCAATGCAGGGGTCACGGGTTCGATCCCTGGTCGGGGAACTAAGATCCCACATGCTGCAGGGCAACTAAACCCGCATGCCACAACTACTGAGCCCCAGCGTGTGCGCTCTAGAGCCCACACGCCACAACTAGAGAGAAGCCTGCATGCCGCAACTGAGACCTGGCGCAGCCAAATAAATAATTTTTTTTTTTTTTAAAAAAAGAAGGAAGCTACTGATCTTGGAACAATAGGGATGAATCTCGAAAATATTACACAAGTGAAAGAAGCTAGACACAAAGACGGGGTTTGTGATTCCATTTATATGAAGTTCTGGAACAGACAAAAGTAATCCCTGATGGAAAAAAAAACGGGAGCAGACGTTAGCTTTGGACAGTAGAGATGGAGGCTGACTGGGAAGGGGCCCAAGAGAGAACCTTGTGGAGGGATGGGAGTGTTTGTGGCCGGAGGTTGGTTTACACAGGTGCGTGTATTTGTCAAAACTCAGCAACTGTACAGTTAACATGAATGCATTTTGCTCTAGTAAATTTTACCTTGAAAAAAAAAACACATTCGTCAATATCGAGCTCTCATTAATGATCTGCACGCTGAAAATATTTAGGGGTGATGTGACTTGATGTCTGCTGCTTTTAAAATTTTTTTTCTTGAAATATTGTTGATGTACAATGTTGTGTTAGTTTCAGGTGTACAGCAAAGTGATTCAGTTATATATATACACACATATATATTTATTTTTTAGATTCTTTTCCATTATACGTTATTACAAGATATCGAGTATAGTTCCCTGTGCTATACAGTAGGTCCTTGTTGATTATCTATTTTGTATATAATAGTGTGTATATTTTAATCCTAAACTCCTTAATCCTTATTTATCCCTCCCCCCACCCCAGCTGCTTATTTTGAAATGCACCGAGAAATGCACTGGTGGGTGGATAGAGGGATGGATGGATACATGGGCAGATGTGTGATGAAGCAATAGACCAAAACGTGAATGGGAGAGTCTGGTGGTGGGTATATAGATGTTCACTGTAAATTCACCTTTTCTGTGGGTTTGAAATTTTTCATCATAAAATGTTGGAGGAGATCATCCAAATTCCACAGGTCCTGCATGACCTGCCGCGTCCCCTCCCCCCGCTCTCCCCTTGCTCACTCTGCTCCAGACACACAGGAATCCTCACTGGTCCTCCAACACTCCGTTTTACTCAGTCCTGCCTCAGGGCCTTTGTACCTGCTGCTCATTTCTCTGCAAAGCCCCTCCCAGCCCCCTTTGCAGCACCACTACCTTCTTCTGCACAAACCCAGGCCCTCCTCACCTCTAGGTCTCAGCTCAGAGGGTGTATGAGCTGAGACCTAGCTCAGACCTTCCTTGATACATCGCACCACCCTGTTTCTTTTCTACCAGGCCCATCGCACTGTGTTATTTATTTAGGAATCCGTTTACTTGTGTATTGCTTGCCTCCCCCTGCTGGGCTGTGAGCTTCATGGTGACAGGAATGTGTCTGCTCTGTTCCCTGCTTGTGTCCCCAACATCTAGCCCCAGGCTGGCATGGACAAGCCACTCAGAGGATATCTCGTGGATGGATGGATGGATGAGTGGATGGGTGGGTGGATGAACAGATGGATGGACAGATGGCTGTACGCATAGATGTACAGGTGGGCAGGCAGATGGCTGGCTGGATGAGCAGATGAACAGGTGGATGGATGGACGGATGGATGGATGAGTAGATGGACAGTGGGTGGGTGGATGGATGGATGGACAGACAGGGAGATGGATGGATGGATAGGCGGATGGATGGATGGGAAGATGGACAGGTAGGTGGGTGGGTGGATAGATGGCAGCCTGGCTGGCTGGCTGGCTGGGTAGGTGTACAGGTGGGCAAGCAGACGGTACGGCTGAATGGACGAACAGATGAATAGGTGGACTGATGAACAGATGAGCAGATGGACAGTGGGTGGGTGGGTGGATGGATGGACAAACAAATGAATGAACAAACTTTGCAAGTGGGCACCAGCGTGGGGTTGGGGCACTTAGTCTTAAATCTTGGGAACAGGAGAAGCTATGTGGGCTCCTCAGGACAGCTGGGCCCCACTGCAGCTCCCCAGCAGCTCTTGGTGGAAAGTTGGCCCACCTCGGCCACTGCTTCAGTATCTGGCAGCAAGCTCGATCACGCAGTAGGCTGTCTCGCCCAGCTGCAGCCGGGCTCGTGGGATAGCGAGCGAGAGAGCCGACATTCACACCTCAGGGGGATTCCGTGTGCGGACGGTCGGCCAGGGAGAGAATTGTGGATTTCCTTAAATCCCTCGTCTTTGGGCTGTATCAGAGGCACCTTCCCACAGTGGCAGAAAACCTTCCCGGACATTTTGAGAACTCAAGTTCGTGACCCCGATCGGCCACTCCCTTGATTCTGGCCAACGTTCTCTTGTCTGTAGAGTACAGAATAATAACTCCTGTCATGAGCTATATTTAAGGGTCAGTAAGCACTGGGCTAAGCACTTCGTGAGCCGTAGCAGGCTGGGCTGAGAGGTGGGTATTACTGTCCCTATTTTACAGATGAACTTGAGATTCAGAGAGGTCAGGTCATTTGCCTGAGGACACCCAGCCCAAGTCTGTCCTTAACACTGGCTCTAATGAACTTCAGGTTGCTAGGCGCTGGGGGGTGTGAGGGCGAGGTGCTGGGCCCTCCCACTCTACCTGTCCTGTGTGCAGAGTTCTCCATTAACTGGACCCTGTGTCCACAGTATGTGGTCCAGCCTGAATGAGTGGCTATGGCAGGAGAGGTTCTGGCTACCACCCAACAACTCATGGGCTGTACTGGAGGACCGCGATGGCCTGGTCTACGCCCACCCCCGGGACATGCTGATGGCCCTGCCCCTGGCTCTGGCCCTGGTGGCCGTGCGCTTCACCTTCGAGAGGTGAGTGTCCGCTGTGCCCTGGCAGGTTGACCCCGTCATCGCTCGTGTGTGCGCAGCACCCGCCCTGTGCTCTCCCGTCTGTGTGATTTCATCCTCATGTGTCCCCGGACGGAGCCTGGCTTTGAGTCAGAGTGCTTTTCTGGGCTTCATCCTGCCCCCAGCTGCCGCCACCCCCACTCCGATGGTCTCTGATGCCTGGAATGCTGGCGGCAGCTCAGGTCTGGGTGTGCTAGCATCTTCAGAAAACAAGTGGGGGCCCTGGAGGGGACGTGCCTGCTTGGCTGACCTAGGATGGGTCTGCAGAGGCCAGTGAGTCAGCGAAGGAACTCCTGCCCACTCCCTCCTCCCTCTGCCCTGTATGGGCACCTCTCCCCCATCCCCACCTCCTGTCCTCTCCCTTACCACCTTTTTCTCCCGCTCCCCTTTCTAGCCAAAGGAAGGGGCATAGGCACTCCAGCCCCCCCCCCCCCGCTTTGGGGCCCTCCCTCCACTCACCCCCAGCCTCCTGCAGCCTGGCCCCCGGCCCCCGAGTGTATGCCGCCTGCCCAGGTTCCCAGCGCCCTCCTGGCTGCCAGATCCCGTGGATTTTTAGTCATTTCTCATGTGACCCAAACGCTGCCCCGAACTGGAGTTCCTCCTCCTTCTCTGGCTGTCCAGCTCTTGGGTCCCTTCCCTCTGACCTAGGTGGTCCCACCCTTTTCTACCTGACTAATGCTGCGGCCACAGCTCCCAGACCTGCCTTGCCCCCATGGCCAACCCCCACCGGGCCTGCCCCCGCTTCCCCCGGCTTCCCCCTCCATGCCTGAGGGCCCCTCCCCCTCCCCTCCCTCCAGGTCCCCCACCTTCTTTGCAACCCTCTGGCCTTTGCACTCACTCCCCTGCAGTTCCTTCAAGGCTGGGTTCCAGGGAAGCCTGCCCTGACCCTCTCCCCACAAAGCCCTTAACCCCCTCTGGCCCTCACTTCAGGTCCTTCCCTCTGTCCCACTCTTTGACCACAGGGACGTGCGAGCGTTCTACACTTTGCTTTGACTCTCCCACTCACGAGGAGCTTCCTAGGGTCTGGGCTCCCAGGACACAGGCTGGACATGGGGAACCCAGGGCATGTCCACTGACACTGCATTTACCAGACACACTTTGGGTTCTTCCTCTGTGCCACCCATTGCTCTAAGCAGTTTGTCTTAACTCAGCCCTCACCCAGTGAGGTGGTACTGTTATTATCCCCATTTTACAGAAGAGGAGATGGAGGCACAGAGAGGTCAAATGACCTGCCTGAGGTCACACAGCAGGTAGTTCAGTGAGGATCGAGGCTTTGCCTGAGGGATTCTGGGAGGCCCAATTCAGCCAGGCCTTGAAGGCTGGGTCTATTTTCCCACCTATTTAGCCAGTGGCTCCAGCTGAGGTGGCAGTGTTAACTCCTCCCAAAGGCATCCCTTGCCTTTCTAAAGGGCAGTGGGGTTGGAAGTAGCTTTTCTGGGGTCAAACAAAGGCAGAGGTTTTCCCTGTTAAGGGAAAATGAATCCTGGGTTTGCCATTCACTTGCTGTGTCACCTTGAGCGTGTTTCTGGCCTCTCTGAGCCTCAGTTTGCCCATCAGGACAATGGGGACAATAATAGTGTTAAGTGAGCCAGCACACGAGGTGGACTTGGACACATGCTTGGCAGATCCTAAGTGTTCAGTAAATGGCAGTCATATCCCAACCCCACCCCCGCCTGCCCCCCACCACAATTGAGTCTGGAATAACTTCCTTGCTGGGCTGCTCTGAGCCTCAGTTTCCCCCAATGAAAGGTGATATTAGGATGGTGGACATGCAGTTTGGTCCCGACCCCTGGTCTTGAGGGCCCCTCTGTGGGCAATGTGGTAACTGACTCACCAGGGTCCCGGCTCCTCCAAGTGTGCACAAGGGGTGGGGGGGATGCTGGGTGGAGGGAGGCCTGAGAAGAAGCAGACCTGCTTCTGCCCATGCAGGGGGCCCCCAGCCTGGTAGAGGGGCGGATCAGGACCCAGGCCATCATGAGACAGGCATCGAGGTTTGGGATGGAGTGAAGGTGCCTGGGTACCACCAAAGTTGTTCATGCCCCACCTTGAAGACCAATCCAGCTTCCTCTCTGGGCGCAGTGCAACAGCCAGGCTACCACCTCCAGGGTCCTAAAATGCAGCCCAGTGAGCCCCCGTTTCCCCACCTGGACTGACAAGCTGTGTCTCCCCTACACCCAGATTCATAGGCCTGCCCCTGAGCCGGTGGCTGGGTGTGCGGAACCAGACCAGGAGGCTGGTGAAGCCCAATGCCACGCTGGAGAAACACTTCCTTATGGAAGGGCAGAGACCCACAGAGGTGAGATCCCCGACCCCCTCCTCCCTCCCCATTGGCCTGCTTGGGTCCCCTGGGGGAGGTTCTAGAGGGGGTGTTTGTGAGCAGAGCTGGGTTTTTATAAGGCCTCTTTTTTGGGGAGACCCCCACCCTGTGAAACCCCCTACTCCCCCATCTCCAAAGGTAGAGCACCCCACAGGTGAGGTCTGGGGCTATAGGGGAGGGGGGGAGCAGAGCTGGGTCCTGCCTGTCCTGGGACAGGGGCAGGAGGCCACCTCTGTGACCCTGGCCCCCATCACTCCCTCCCCAGCCCCAGATGAGCCTCCTGGCGACCCAGTGTGGGCTCACCCTGCGACAGACCCAACACTGGTTCCGGAGACGCCGGAACCAGGACCGGCCCTGCCTGACCAAGAAGTTCTGTGAGGCCAGGTAAGCCCAGGGTGGGGCCGGGAAGGGGGAGTCTGGGGGTGCGGCGGAGGGCCTGGTCCTTTGGCAGCTGCCTCAGGGGCTCCCTCCCCGCCTGCAGCTGGAGGTTCGCCTTCTATCTGTGCTCCTTCATCGGTGGAATCTCGGTTCTTTACCACGTGAGTGTACCTGACAGCTCACCCGCCCTATCCCTCAAGCACCTAGTATGCGCTGGGCCTGGACTGGACTGGGAAGGGGTGTGTGGGGTTCGGGCGGAGGGGGAAGCATGTGCCAAGGCACAGAGAGGGAGGGTGGAGGGAATGAGGCCAGGTCGTGGTGAATGTTCACCCCATGGGTGCCTGTTGAGAGGACCTACTGTGTGTCGGGGCTGGGGATTCTGAATCAGCCCCTGGTCTACAGTGAGAGCAGAGTTGCAACCAGGCAGGAAACAGCCGGCCTGAGTGACAGCAGCATGTCAAGGGCCAGGGAGGCCTGAGGAGGCCCCAGGCCTGGGGTTGGGGGGTTGGGGGGGCTGGGTTCTAACCTCTGGACAACTTCAGACTCCCGTGTCCCCGCAGGAATCGTGGCTGTGGACGCCGGTAATGTGCTGGGACAGTTACCCACAGCAGGTGAGTGGGACGGGTGGTGTTTGGAGGCTAGTGGGAGGATCAGGGCAGAGTTCCTGTGGCCACAGGCAAGAGCGCCAAAGCTGGACATCACACCATCATTCCCCCCCACCCCGAATCCCACTCTATTCTTTGGCTCCCGTGTGGAATGGAGAGGGGCCAGGAGTCAGGACACCCTGGAAGCAGGAGCTGCCACAAAACCACTGCCCTTGATTACCTCTAAGGATGGGGAGCTCATGCCTTCCTCACTCATTGGGATTCATGGGTCATGGGTTTGAGCAAATGGGGAGGGCCCTACCCCATGCCCCATGTCCCGTGGGAACCTCCACTCCCCACAGCTAACCCTGCACTCCCTGCCACAGCCCCTGAAGCCGGCCCTGTACCACTGGTATCTCCTGGAGCTGAGTTTCTACGTCTCTCTGCTGATCACGCTGCCCTTCGACACCAAGCGCAAGGTGAGGCCAGGCCAAGAGTCTCACCCCACTCCCAGAGACCCTTGGTGTCTCAGGCAGGAGGCGTAGGGTCCACATGCCAAGCAACCCCCTGGGAGGGCCTGCTCCCAGCCCTGCGGGGTGGGGCCGCTCCGGCCCCCCAGCCTCATCCCGGCTATGACCCTCCGTCTCCCGCAGGATTTCAAGGAGCAGGTGGCACATCACTTTGTGACCATCACCCTGATCGTCTTCTCCTACAGCACGAATCTGCTGCGCATCGGCTCTCTGGTGCTGCTATTGCACGACTCCTCCGACTACCTGCTGGAGGTGCGCCTGGCGCAGCCCGACCCCTCCCAGCCCCCCGCCCTCCCAGGTGCCCCTGGTGTTGAGGCCCACCCCCTGTCAGTCTTCCTGGGAGGTGAGGCCCAACCCCCATCATCCGCAGACCACGCACCCCAACTCACCTGGCCCAGGCAGAGGCACCTTTTCCCTGGGAAGAGGCCCCGCCCTTTCTCGGCCCCGCCCCGCCCTTCCCGCGTGCTTCCGCCGCAGCCCCACCCCCAGGTCTATTTCTCTCTGCTGTCCCCTCCAGGCCTGTAAGTTGTTCAACTACACGCACTGGCGGCGCGTGTGCGACGCTCTCTTCATCATCTTCTCGTTGGTCTTCTTCTACACTCGCCTCGTGCTCTTCCCCACCCAGTGAGTCAGCCCTCCCGCCGGGGATTGGGGAGGTGGGGGGCGGCGGTAAGGCGGAGATCCAAGCCCGCCTCACCCTTCGTTCCTCGGTTCCCGGGTTCCCCGATCCAGATAGCTGGGGTGTGGGCTGGGAGGTTTCCAGGAGGAGGCAAGGAAGGGTGTCCCCGGCACAGGGCGCAGCATATGCAAAGGCCCAGAGGTAGGAGAAACAGAAAACTGGGCTTAGTCATCACCCCCTGCCGCGTGCCTGGAACATGGGTTGGGAGACAGCGTCGGGCCCCACGCGCTAAAGTCTTTGCCCGGCAATTTGATGAGCCTGTTGCAACAAGCAGAGGGAACAACGTGAAGGTCCCTGCTCACCTGGAGCTGACACTGGCAGGTGGGGAAATATAATAAGGCAAACAAGTAGACTGCAGAATATGTGAGGCAGTGATCGTGCTAAAGAGAAAAAAAGTTGGGAAGGTCACAGGAACTGTGTGGATAGCTGGAAATAGGGTGGTCGGAGAAGGCCTCACTGACAGCCTTCATATAGAGACTGCAGGGAGGTGAGGGAGAAAACTACTGATCGCAGTGGGAAGAGCACCTGCAAAGGCCCTGAGGCAGGACCGTGCCCAGCATGTCGCAGGAACAAAGAGGAGGCCCGTGTGGCAGGACCAGAGTGAGCAAGAGGGAGAGAGCGAGGGGAGAGCACAGAGCTGACGGGAGAGAGTATGCAAGGTCTTATAGGCCTTGGGGAGAAGTTGGGCTTTTATCCCAAGCCAGGTGGGAGCCCTGGAGGGTTCTGAGCAGAGGATGGGGGGAACCTGACTCGAGTACTCACAGGCTCCCTCTGGTGGCTCCGGGGGGAATAGCTGGTAAGAGGTTGGAGCAGGAGCTGGGGGACCAGGGAGGAGGCGACAGCACTGGTCCAGTGGGCAATGTTGGGGCTCGACCAATGCAGTCGAGAGAAGTGGGTGGACTCGGGGATGACTCAAGGGTCATGAGATGGGAACGGGCTCAGAGTTACTGCTTGAGGATCAGGAGCTTAGCTCTGGCTGCGCCGGGTTTGAGGGGTCTGCAACATGCCCCTCAGGCACCACCACCGAAAAGTGGAGGAAGCAGTCGACACCAGCCTGGGGTTCTGGGAGAGACGTCCATGTCCAGTGTTTGCAGTCGCGAGACTGGACAGGGTCACCGAAGACCAGGTGTGGACAGAGAGGCCCAGTCCTGGGGCCCCCTGATGTTTGCAGGTCGGGGGAGCCTGCAGAGGAGATGGAGAGGGAGAAGCCATGAAGTGGGCCCATGGGAGTGTGGGTCCCTGCAGGCACGTGAGGAAAGAACATGAGGAGGAGGGAGGCCAGCTGGGTGCCTGCTGGCTGATCAAGGCGGGTCACTGATGACCCTACAGCTGATCTGGGTGAAGGTGGTAGTGGGAGGGAAGGGGGAGGGATCTGAGAAGGTGTGAAAGGACCACCCAGGAAAGCTGCTGGGACACTAAGCACCCCCTTGGGGTTTACAGTCACGACCGGCCAGTTGTCCAGCTTGTTCATTCTTTGAATTTAACATAACCAGGTGGGGGGGGTACTTAAATGCCCAGCTGAAGGGCACAGGTATCATTCTTCGGGGGTGGGTAATGGGGAGCTATAGAAAGTTCTGGAGCAGGGAAGGTCACGCAAGTTAGAGATTCCTAGGACTGGGGGCAACAGCAGCCAGTGAACCCCTGCCTCTCTCCCTCCTGCCCACCCACCGTAGGATCCTCTATACCACATACTACGAGTCCATTGCCAACTCGGGCCCCTTCTTCGGCTACTACTTTTTCAACGTGCTTCTGATGACGCTACAGCTGCTGCACGTGTTCTGGTCTTGCCTTATCCTTCGCATGATCTACAGCTTCATAAAGAAAGGCCAGGTAGGCGGTCCAATGGTTAAGGCTCCCCGCCTTGTCAATGCAGGGGGTGTGGGTTCGATCCCTGGTCGGGGAACTAAGATCCCACATGCCGTGCACGTAGCCCAAAACTTTTTATAAATAAAATAAATAAATATTAAATAAGTAAATACATATAAAATAATTTTAAAAAAAAGAAAGAAAAAGAAAGACCAGGTAGGGCCGGGCAAGGGTTGGCTAGCTTGTGCCTCCCTGGAGCCCCCAGCCCAGCCCAGCCCCGCCCCGAGCCTCCTCCCTTCTCCCTGTTCCCCAGATGGAGAAGGATGTTCGCAGCGACGTGGAAGAGTCAGACTCCAGCGATGGGGAGGCAGCCCAGGAGTACCCGCAGCTGAAGAACAGGGCGGCTCACCGGCCCGGAGCAGCCCCCACCGATGGCCCTCGGAGCCGGGCAGCCAGGCGGATGGCCAACGGGCACACACCAGCCACGTAGCCGGCCGAGGACTGACCACAAGGGGCTGCCCCAGCACCCGGCAGCTCGGATTCGTGGGGCGGCTGGACTGGGGACCCTTGGGCCGATTCTGTGGAGACAGGGAGGGCCCCACCCCAGGGGCAGATGATCTGTCTCCAGCCCCTTCCTTCTGCCCACCCTCCCTCCTTCCCTCAGGCAAATGGACAGAGCTGCAGCCGGGGGAGAGAGGGGTACAGGCAGCCCGGCAACTGTGAAGAGCCCCAGGCTGAAAGGGGGTCCAATAAAACTTGACCGGAGCCAACTTCTCTGCCTGAGAGCTTGTGTCCCTGTCACAGCTCCTCATCCATCCCCAGAGGCCCCAAGGCAGCCAGGACTTACATACCTCACCAATGGGTCACTCACTGCCACCCCAAGACACAGGCCCACCCCCAGGGGACCCAGACAGTGCGCAGCGCGTGGGGACCCCCTGGGGTGAGTCCCCACCTCCCAGCAGAGCCTCAGCCAAGCTACCTCCTTCCACCCCAGGGCAGCCCTTGGTCAGCTACTCACAGACCTTGCGTACAGATGAGCAGGTGCTGGGCTCAGACAGGTGGAGTCCTTTGCCCAAAGTCACACAGGTCCAAACAGAAGGGCGAAGGGGAGACTCACACCTGTTCCTGCAGCCCCTGCTCAAGCCTGGCAGATCCCCGTCCTCAGGGTCCCCAGGACCTCCCTGGAGACAGTGAAATAGGACTTCGTGGGAGGGCAACTTCCTGCAGGCTTCCCAAGGGTTCAGCCGGCTGATTTCACTGTCTCCTCAGGAGCTCTGCAGGAGGGTGCCCCCCCAACACCCCAGAAATCACTGCCACAAGGTCCCACGCAGGGCCAGAATGTGCTGCCTTCAGGGGAACACCAGAGACAGGAGTCGGAGAAGAGAGAGAAAGGGTGGGGGGACGGGTCTCACCTTCTGTGCTTCTCAACAGAGGAGAGGATGGGAGCGGGGAGAGATGGCAGAGAGGAGAAAGGTCCCTGCTGTGTCTCCACTGAGAAACAAGGATGGAGGGAGAGGAAGGTGTTACATGTGATCCAGCAATCCCACTCCTGGGCATATATCTGGACAAAACTATAACTCAAAAAGATACATGCACCCCCCCTATGTTCATAGCAGCACTATTCACAATACCAAGACGTGGAAACAACCTAAATGTCCATCAACAGATGAACGGATAAAGATGTGGCACATATATACAATGGAATGTTACTCAGTCGTAAAAAAGAAGGAATAATGCCATTTGCAGCCACGTGGATGGACCTAGAGGTCATCATACGAAGTGAAGTCACTAAGAAAAAGACAAATATCATACAATATCACTTACATGTAGACTCTAAAAACAAGGATAGACATGAACTTATCTACAAAACAGTAAGAGACCACAGACATAGAAAAACAAGCCTGTCGTTACCAAAGGTGGGGGGAGGGATAAATTAGGAGTTTGAGATTGGCAGATGCAAGCTGTTATATATAGAATGGGTAAACAACAAGGTCCTACTGTATAGCACAGGGAACTGTATTCAATATCCTGTGATAAACCGTAATGGAAAAGAATATGAAAAAGAATGTATGTGTATGTATAACTGAATCACTTTGCTGTACAACAGAAATTAACACGACATTGTAAATCAACCATACTTCAATAAAATAAAAATGTTTTAAAAAGAGGCAGGTGTTAGAATCACTGGAAAGATGAGAGAGGAGGGAACAATTAGAAGAGCTGAGATGTCATGGGAAGTAGGAAACAAACAGGAAAAGAGAAGGGACAGTGGGGGAGGTGGAAGAAAAGGCGGCATTGGAGAGACACTGGAGATGAGAGGGGAGAGAGCAGACTAGGAGCTTGGAGGATGTGATGTCAGAAGATGGTGACACCTGGAGGGAAGAAAGGGAGAGGAAAGAAGAGAGAGAAAGGGGAAAAGAAGAGAATACCGAGGTGTGAAGGGGTTCTCAGACAGAAATGTGAAAGAAGAAATGTGAAGAGAGGGAGAAGTAGATCCTAGGAGGAGGAGCGAGGGATGAAAAGATGAGCAGGTGGTCCACAGGAGGGAGATGCGAATGGCTTGGAAGCAGATAAAAAGATGCTCAGTCTCACTCCATCTGAGCGAAGCGCAAATTAAACCTACAATGAAATGCCAATTCTCCCTGGCTATCCCCGGCAAAAATACAGAGTGACAGCATCCTCTGTCGGTGAGATTTGCAGGGAAAACGCCTCTGTCCTGGAACACGCCCCTCCCACCACCACCACCCTATCCTCTTTATCCCTAAAAATACGTCTAGATCTTCCTAGTACACCTACAACTCAGTAGAAGGACAACCGACCTAAAAATAGGAGCAAAACCCACCATGGACACTTACAGAAGAGAAGATACTTATGGCCAATAAACGTATGAAGACACTCAAATCTCAGTGATAATCAGGAAAATGCAAAGCAAGGTGGTGAGGTACCATTTTAAGCCCATTCAACTGGCAAAAATAAACTGGCCAGGGAATTCCCTGGAGGTCCACTGGTTAGGACTCCACGCTTCCACTGCAAGGGGCACGGGTTTGATCGCTGGTCGAGGAACCCCGTATGCCACATGGGGTGGCCAAAAAATAATAATAATAATTTTTTAAAAATAATAAATTGGCCAAAGCAAGTATTGGAGAAGATGGGAATCAATAACCTCACATATATTACTGGGGAGGGGGGAGTGTAAATTGCTACAATCATTTTGGAAAACCACTCACCATCATGTCAAATTGTTGACCGTTCTATGAAGTTCAAAAGCAACTCAAACAAGATGATGTATTGTTTAGGCATACACATCTATCTAGAAGAATTATTTCTTTAATAAACAGAAAACATAAACACAAAATTCAGAACTTATCAAAGTTACCTTTGATTTGGGGAGGAGGATGGCACTCAGGTAGATATAAATTACTGTCACTGTTCTAACTTTTGAGGTTGTGAGGTATAGTGACAGATACTCATTTTATTGTTAATAAATACAACTTAAGGGACTTCCCTGGTGGCGCAGTGGTTGGGAATCCACCTGCCAATGCAGGGGACACGGGTTCAATCCCTGGTCTGGGAAGATCCCACATGCCGCAGAGCAACTAAGCCCGTGCACCACAACTACTGAGCCTGCACTCTAGAGCCTGTGAGCCACAACTACCGAGCCCACGTGCCACAACTACTGAAGCCCACCCGCCTAGAGCCCGTGCTCTGCAACAAGAGAAGCCACCACAATGAGAAGCCCACACACCACAATGAAGAGTAGCCCCCACTCGCCGCAACTAGAGAAAGCCGGCGCGGCAACGAAGACCCAACACAGCCAAAAATAAATAAATGAAATAAATTTAAAATAAATAAATAAATACAACTTAAAAGGGATATGCAAAAATACATGCAGCAGAATGGGAGACACTATTTGCAAACCATATATCTGAAAAGGGTCTAGTACTTAGAATATATAAACACTTAAAAACAAAAAAAAAAAATTTTAAAGATGGGCGAAGGACTTCAATTGACATTCCTCCAAAGAAGATATACAGCCGATAAGCACATGAAAAGGTGTCTTAAGGAAATCTAAATCAAAACCACAAGATACCACTTCACACCCATAACCATAAATATAGCAAAAAATAAAATAATCACTGTTGGTGAGGTTGTGGAAAAATTAGAACAATTCTTGTATGTTGTTGGTTGGAATGTAAAATGGTTAATTACTGTGGAACAGCGTTTGGTAGTTCGTTGGAAAGTTAAACAGATTTATCATCTGACCTAGCAATTCTACTCCTAGGTATATACCCAAAGGCTTGAAAACAGGGACCCAAACACATACTTGTATATGAATGTTCATAGCAGCACTGTTCACAATGGCCAAAAGATCAAAACAACACAAATGTCCATCGGTAGGTGAATGGATAAACAAAATGGGATATATCCCAAAACGGAATATTATTCAACCATAAAAGGAAATACTGATACACGCTACAACGTGGATGAACCTGAGGAACATTATGTTAAGTGAAAGTAGACAGACAAAAGGTCACACATTTTATGACTGCTTTTATACGTAATGTCCAGAATACGTAAACCTATAAAATAGTACAAAAAGAATTTGAAAAGGAATAGATATATGTATTGAATATATGTATAACTGAATCACTTGGTTGTACCCCTGAAACTAACACAACACTGTAAATCAAAAGTAGAGGAAAGGGCTTCCCTGGTGGTGCAGTGGTTGAGAGTCCGCCTGCCGATGCAGGGGACACGGGTTCGTGACCCGGTCCGGGAAGATCCCACATGCCACGGAGCGGCTGGGCCCATGAGCCATGGCCACTGAACCTGCGTGTACGGAGCCTGTGCTCCGCAACGGGAGAAACCACAACAGTGAGAGGCCCGTATACCGCAAAAAAAAAAAAAAAAAAAAAAAAAAAAGTAGAGGAAAAATAAGAATTTTATCTTCCGGGATGGAAGATAGCTAAGGAGTATCTCTCTCAAAGCAGAGTAAAGAGAGAACTTCTCTCTCAAAGCAGCATAAAGAAGAAATTCTCTTCTTCTTTAAACCACATGGAATATAGATCCCTACAGACCAACATCTGTCTAAAAGTAGTAAAAAGAATTAAGAAACTGAAATAGAAAGGATTATTTGAAAGAAAGGAAGGAAGGAAGGCTGGAACATTCCCAAAACTGAAGAAATTCATGAGCCCCCAGACTGAAAGAGCCCACTGTGAGCCAAACGAAGTGAATGCCTTAAAAATTCCACACTGAAACTTACTGGGATGAAGTTCCAAGCCATTAAGGATAAAGAACAAAACCCCAAATCTACCAGAGGAAAAAGACAGCTTTTCTACAGGAGATGAGCAGTTGGAGAGCACAATTTTTAATCTGTACAACAGATGCCTGACGATAGAAGCGAATCCTCAGAGCCCACAGTATAAATATCTCAGAACTGAAAATTCCATACCCAGCTAAACTACCACGTTAGGATAAGGGTGCAATAATGACATTTTCAGACAAACAAGATCTCTCATGTTCTCCCCTTAAAAAGTCTTCATATTCCTTAAGCCCTCTCCACTGTCCAGTACCCAGGCATCAGCTCCCAGAGCTCTGGGCTGGACATATAGGCTCTGTGCAACTTTACCTGTTTTTGTTTAATTGTTTTTACTTTTTATTTTGAAATAATTTCAGACACAGAAAAGTTGTGATGATAATATTAAAAAAGTCCCAGCGGGGAGGGGTGGGTGGGATGAACTGGGAGATTGGGATTGACATATATACACTAATATGTATAAAATAGATAACTAATGAGAACCTGCTGTATAGCACAGGGAACTCTACTTCACTTCGCTGTACGGTAGAAACTAACACAACATTGTAAAACAACTATACCCCAATTAAAAAAAGAAAAAGTCCCACATACTCTTCATTCAAATTTCTCTAAGGTTAACATCTCACCACATCTCCATTATCCCCATCATCTCTATTATCTCCAACTCCATCATCTCTATCTCCATCATCATCATCTCCATCTCCTCCATCATCTCCTCCTCTTCCTCCTCTTCCTGCTCTCCTGCTCCTCCCGTCCCATTCATATATATATATATATATAT